AAATAAATAAAATCTTAAAAAAAAAAAAAAAGAAAAGAATCAGGAACCACTCAACACAGAAGAAACTTCAGATAAAGGATATTTCTTTTACCCATGTAGATTCCCCAGGCACTGGGACACAATAGAAAGTCTGTCTTTCCAAAGTGGTAGTTCGTGGGGAGTTTAAATCAACTTCTTGTTGAGGCTGTGATATATACAAAAAGTATATTTAAAATTTTATTAAGAAAAACAAAAATTTTTATTAGCAAACCACATATTCATGTTATTTACAAAACTATAGTAAATATTTCACGTTAAGAATTAACAAATACCAAATCCAAACTCATTTTTTAAAAAGGAAAATGGACATAAAATCATTTCACATGCAACCATCAATATACTACTTTCCCTCAAGTCCATAATACACAGCACCCTGTTACAAAATTAAATCTTTTAATAAACAGTATACTTTATTAATTTTTTTCAAAGACAAAGCACTGTCTCTTTCATAGACCACATCAGTATCAGCCTATATAACAGGAACTTAATGAAATATTTATTAGCAGTAACTCTGAAAGGAAATTTGAGTCAGATATTATTCCCTAGAAAAGGAATGTTCCCCATTTCAAATATACTGAGAAAATCCTAAGAGTTAGAAAGAACCCAAGATGTAATATTAAAATATTACTTTAATAAGCATATACTACTTTTAGTACATACATTACAAAAAAAATCTCTTAAAAGTAAAATAAAATGTATATTCCATCTTGTGGGTTGGAGGGGGGGGAAGAGCCAAGAGACATCAAGTCTCAGCCTGAGCTAGTATATACACAAACAGGGCTTTCTATGTGTTTCTTTCTTTCTTTCCAGGCCCAAAGTTTTCCTGGTTTGGTGCTTTTACTTATGATCTTTAGCAACACAATATGAACTCTTGGCCTTCAGCAGTGTCACACATGGACAGACTCACCTATTTTCCTATTTCCAGATGCTGAGATTACTAGCCTATGGTGATACTACATTACTGTGTATTGATAGATTAGGCTAATATGACTTAGGGCTCCTCAAACAATGGACACAGCAAGTATTTATAAAGTTGACTCATTAGACTTGGCACCACATTTTACTTTGTAGAAACACTCTCAAAGAAAAAAGACATTGGGAGACCTCAAGTTCATCATGTGTTAAGATAAGCAAATCCATCTTTCACAAGTCCCCCTAAATAATTACAGGAACTTATATTTTTGTTTAATATAATCTTCGCAGCAACTTTCCAAATTAGGGCTGTTTTTCTGTCCAGATTGGCCCTGAATTAGAACACTTTACTCAATCAGGCACAGCTTCTATTGCGAATTAAGGTGTGGTATTAGGGCTTATAAATCAATCTCTTGAGGTTTGGGTAAGCGGGAGTCAGACTCCCAGAACGTAAAAAGCCCCAGATAATCTGATTAAACTAAGACTCTGGATCACCAAAGCAGAGAACTAGACCCAGAAGGAAGGTAACTCAAACTAAGGTGCCACCTTTAAACACCTGCCTGATCAATCCCCACCTGTGATACTTGTTTTTCCCCCCAACAATTAACAATTACCATCAGTTTCAGTAGAACCACATGAAAAACCAATTTTAAAAAATGTAGATATACTGTAGTTCCTCTATAACTGCTTTTCTATTAAGTTTCTACCTCAAGACTATCCCTTTCACAACCATAATTATATCTAGTGTCCTCTGCCTTCTTGCCTCTCCCATTACTGATACGTAAGTTTCCATTACCTCTCTTTATCAAAGAAAGTTTAAATTTATTATAAACTTTTTTCCTCCTAGGAAAAGGCGGCAGGATTTAATGAAATTTAATTAAGCAAGTGTTAAGCCCTAAGTTAATCTTCCACTTTTACTTTAAAAGAATTTATCATAACCTCTAATTTTGAAAGCAAGTATAGAGACACAAGGAAAAGGAATTAGTTTTGTTATTTACAATACTCCACCTTCTAAGAGATTTTTAAAAGATCAAAAACATACCAGAGAAACTTAAATAAAAGGTAAATAAAACATTTCACATGACTTCTTAGAACTTTACACACAAAATACACTTAAGATCAACCAAAAGAAAATTCACTGCTTAAGAAGAAATTCTTATTAAAATATTTTATATGTCTTAAGGATACATACCCCACACTCTGCTACATCTCTGTATTTTCCAAAATGAAGGACCTATGATCCAAGACAAAGGATAACAGCATCATATATCTGAATCAAAACCACCATAAACAACACAAGGATAAAATTAATGCCAATATTTATAAACAGAAAGTTTCAAGAAGAAAAGCAATACATACACGTGCTTTTGTGTTTCGGTTAACCGTTTCATAAACTCCCATGTAAAACTCAGGGTCAAACATATCCTGAATCATGCAACGAAACTTCACAAAACTGTTAGGTTTCAAATAATGAAGGGGAACTTCATTCAGTGATGGTACCTTAAAGGAAAACAAGTCAATAAAACACTCTTATCTGTAAAACGTGAAGCACATATACAGAGACTGTATATCCAGAACCACCACCCCCCCACACACACATACACACACCAAGCCCCATTAGGAAGCCAGTGATCTCAACAGTCAACACAACAAAAGTGCTAAGCACAAAAGTATTTTTTATGTTCTTCCAAGTTTGTATCATGACATCTGACTCTAATGTAAAAGGATGCTCTTCCTTAAGAATACTTCTCAAGTAGCAGAAAATCATTTGCTTTGTTGAGCTCTTCTCTTAAAACTAGTACATGCCAATTCTCTTTAAATGAAGGGAATAGAACAAAGATATCTGGGACTCTCACAACTACTGATTTTTTGGGGGGGGGGGTCTTAGAAAGTAACATGGTCAATTACTGCCACCTAGAGGCACCAACACAGAAGCACTGAATTGCTTGAATTTAAATTTCAGTCGGAAGAGGGCAAAATCTTTCAATACATATGCACTTAAAGCAGAAGACAGTACACATTAACGTATATAGTTTTAAATTTTAGTGCTCGCTTCAGAAGCACATATACTAAAATTTTATGTGGATTATGACTCTACTGAGAGAAACTGAAAGTCGGCCCAACCCTCTCCCTTGCAAACAGCAATAAACTTACCCATTTAGGGGCGTTATTTTCCTTCAGCTTTTCCTTAAAATATTCAATTACTTTCTTCTCCCAGTCAGAATTAACTCCATTTTGGGCTGAAAGAAAAATATACTTTTCAGAGCTAAAGGGACACTGCCTAACAACAGACCAGGGTCAGGTGACATTCTAGTGGCACACCGCCGCACTGGGCCCTCAGGAAGCCGCCCTGCTAAGAGGGGGTGCGTATTACGATGCAGGGCAGCGCTGCCCTCGTGCAGGCTCTCAGAAGCCAGCAACCTCGTTGAGAATACCCACAGAATGAGATACGAAGCCACTTGGACAAAGCGCAATGCTCTCTGAAAACATTTTTACACAGATTTTTTTTTCTTTATAACTACCCTGAAATGAAAAGAAGGTGCTCTACAAAAAATTTTTTTCAATTTGGGAATAATTTCAAACTTTCAAAAAAATCAAATGAATAGTACAAAGAATACCTGTATCTTTGCTCCATGTGCTTTATCTAGTCCCTCATATATACATTTTCCTGACCCATTTGAGATTGTTACACACATCATATACTTTTGCCTTTAAGTATTTCAATGCCTGTTTCCTAAGAACAAAGAGGTTATCTTACATAACAGTACTGTAACCAACCTCAGGAAATTCAAAACTGATACCATACTTTTTATCTAACCTATCACCATATTCCACCACTATCCCTGACTGCACTTCTTCCTCTTTAGTACAGGAACCAGTCTGGGATCACATATTGCTCTTAGCTATCATGTCTCTTTAACCTCCTTTAATCTGGAACAGTCCCTCAATCTTTATCTGTTTTATGACATATTTAAGAGGAAAACAAAACCTGTAAAAAACAAATATGAGGAATGCTCCTCACTTTGGGTTTGTCTGATGTTCACTTATGATTAGACTGCAGTTGTGCACTATCAGTCAGGCTGTTCCCTTAGTGATGCTGCGTCCTTGTAATGGTACCATCTAGAGACACCACGTCCACCTTCCCCTCACTATGATGTTCACTTTTTTTTTTTAAGAATTTTATTTATTTATTTGACAGAGAGAGAGAGACAGCGAGAGAGGGAACACAAGCAGGAGGAGTGGGAGAGGGAGAAGCAGGCTTCCCGCGGAGCAGGGAGCCCGATGCGGGGCT